GGAGGAGGAGAGAGAGGAGAAGCAAGAGGAGGACGATATATCGTAACTGAGGGGGCACATCTCCGTGCCTCGGCGCGCTCGTGAGCAGCCAGTGCGTGTCGCGCGGCAGCGGTTTCTATAGCCCTCTGCGGACGGAGCCTCTGAAGGCTGGTCCTCATGGGCCACCGCAGCTTTGGCTGAATGGTGCGCGTGGAACGCCAGCGTTCCAAGGCGCCTCGCGTCGACACGGGTGCGCGGGCAGCTGGCTGATCGGTGTGCGTTTTCGGCACCAGAGCCGAGAACCAGAAAGGGATTCGAGGGAGGTAGGATGATCAAATGGAGGACCTAGGCCCCATTTCCACTTCGGGGTCTGGGGTCTAGGTCCTAGACACCCCTCGGGGTCTGCGTGCCTCAGTTGATTGACCCATATCATTGATCTTCTTAGGTTTTTAAACATGTTCACGTTCTCGTCCTAGGCTTCCGATGGCCCCAGACGGCCCAAGAGGCCTCCAAGATGGCCCAAACGAGGGCCCCATAAGCTCCCAAGAGGGCCCGGAGACGGACCCAGAGAGCCTCAATGCGGCTCCAGGGCTCAAGACGGGCCGAAAGCGTGCCAAGAGGGCCCCAAGCCTGCCCATTGAGACCCCCAAGGCGGCATCCAAATACCAAGCGGCCCCTAAAGGCCCCCAGAGGCTCACAAGAGGCCCTGAGACTGTAGTGAGGCGACGCGCCCACCATCACACCAGCCGAGCCGACTCTTCTTCTCCTTCGCCTCGTCGTCGGCGAAACCTCGGCCGCCACCGTTGTCACCGTCGTCGTGGTCCGTCGTCGTCGTCGTCGTCATCGTCGTCGTCGTCGTCGTCATTGTCACCGTCGTCGTCGTCGTCGTCGTCGTCGTCGTCGTCGTCGTCGTCGTCGTCGTCGTCGTCGTCGTCGTCGTCGTCGTCTCGGAGGCGGACGAATTGAGATCACGGCAATTCGACAAATGTCCCGGACCCTCGGGGTCCAAGAACACTAGTTCTTCGAGCTGCTTCCGGCCGTGGCGACTTGGGGGAGCCCCGAAGGCCAACTACCGTTGTCCTTAATTCGCACTCCTCTGATCGTCGTTGTCATCGCCAAGCGCTGCTCCCCAAATCATACCTGGCCGAAGCCGACTCCATACGATTAGAAGCCAGCGTCACGTCGCCCAGGCGCTCGTCGTAGGCGGAGACTGCCGACCGCGCCTGCCGCTGAAACTCGGCGGTCTCCTGGGCGAAAGGGAGGGCTGATTCTCTCTTCGGTGCCTGACCCTGAGGAGGGCTGGCAGGACCCAAACCTCCACGTGCTGTGAACAACAAAAAAAGAAAATCACAACGGAACAAGTTTGGCTACTTTCGGCCTTCGGGGGCCCTCGCTGGGCCACGTGGCCGCAAGAGAGAAAACGCCTGAGGATGAGACGCCGGTCCCGGGGAAGGGGTCGAGACCTCCCGGGTGTCTACGTGGTGAAGAAATCGCGACGTCGGGGGCTGGGAAAAGCGGGGCAAAGAGCACAAGCAGAAAGATGGGGAGCAGAAGCAGTAGTGGGCAGCGGGGCTGAGGTTTCCGCAGCTGAGCAATCTGATGTCCATCAGCGCAATGAGGCAACTCGCAACGTTACGATAGTCTCAGAAGCCCAATATCCCGACAGCCACGGTTCTCTCCGCTGAGCCACCGGTTCTCAAGGTGGCAGGGCCGCTCACAGTCGAGGAGAGTGAAGGTCTGCCAGCGAGGGCCCCCATTTTTTTTGCACTCTGGATTTGCAAACTGTGTGATGCAGTCGGGGCGTTGACCCAAGGAACACTAAATAAGGAACGAGGCCCCTATTTTCCATAAGTTAAACTTCGATTGCATGTCGAAAACCTAAGGAAAATCTGAGGCAAGCTGCGCAACAATTAAGGAACACGGAGCCCCTCCCCAATGAAAAGGGTTTTTTCTTCAACGCCCCGACTGTACAATCTATGGTCTGGACGCCAGGAGTGGGTACGGAAAGACTGGGCACGAGGCCGAACAGCACACGTTGTCCCGAGCCGACAACGGCCACGGTTGCGCAGCCGGCTTTCTGCCTCAAATGTCCAGAGCCCGCTGCGACGCCGATGGCATGCCCGGCTCAAACATGGACAAGAACCGCTGTGGCTCTTCGTGCCCAGCGCTTCCGTACACATCTCGATCGTACGATATTCAGCGAGCGAAGAACGGTATAAAAAAGTTTATTTTATGCCGTTCTTCGCCCGTTAAGATATGTGGTGCAAGCTGTGTGGTGCAAGCTGGGCGGTGCAACTTCTGTGGTGCAGCCGAGGCGCCAACCAACGCACGAGGCGCCCACGATACGTCCGCGGGTGTCTGCGGTGGGCACCCCCGGTGCGCGCCCCCGGTGGGCGGCCTACCACACGCAAAAGGAGGAGGAGGAGGAGGAGGAGGAGGAGGAGGAGGAACAACAGGAGGAGGAGGAGGAGGAGGAGGAGGAGGAGGAGGAGGAGAGGAACAGGAGGACAGGAGGAGGAGGGAGGAGGAGGGAGGAGGAGGAGGAGGAGGAGAGATGAGGAAGGAGGAGGAGGAGGAGGAGGAGGAGGAGGAGAGGGAGGGGAAGAGGAGGGTCAGGAGGGTCAGGAGGAACACGAAAATCCGTGACTCCCAACCCACCAGTGAGCGCCCACACCAGCTGAAAGCCCGGAGCTCCCAGCCAGCGCGAGGCGCCCACAAAGCGCCCACGAAGCCGAGCGCCCCGAGCATTCAACCAGCACGAACCGCCCACGAGGCTCCCGCAAGGGGGGGAGGGAGGAGGAGGAGGAGGAGGAGGAGGAGGAGGAGGAGGAGGATGAGGAGGAGGAGGAGGAGGAGGAGGAGGAGGAGGATCCCGTAGTGGTTGTGGTGGTCGTGATTTTGTGACGGGCAAAACAGCCGACTGGAGCAGCATGTGTCGACACCACGAGCGCGAGACAGAATCGCCGCGCCCCATGAGCGTCGTACGTATTGCCGAATGGGTGTGTGATGAAGTCCTGTCGAGACCAATGCTGATGTCGGCTTGGAGAGACGGTGGAAGTTGGTCATCAGCGCCGCAGTCCACGGAACTGTCGGCGGTATGCAAACCTCGGGACCACTCGGCCGCAAGGTTGATCTGCCAGCGCCCCGTTACTCGTGAGTAGTGGCAGGCCCCTCGGCTGGTTGGAGATCGATGGTGACGTGACAGCTGGAATGCCCTCAGCGGCGCCAGACTGAGTCGGTCATGTCGGGCTCGCCCCAGAGACTGTACGGAAACGCCAAATTCGGCAATATCTGAAGCAGACTGGCCCCGCCGGGCGGACTCACCCCAAGGGCTGGTGGCGACTGATCGGTATCGTCCTGGGCAGGTGGATGCCTGCCCATGAACAGGAATGAACAGCTGATCTGTGAAAAGTGCCTCGCATAGCCGCCCCACAAGCGACGCGCAACCCGTAGCGTGTTGAAACGAAGGTCAACACGGAGATTGCAAACGTACGTTTGGCGCGATACATTCGCGAAAGGGGTAGAAGAAAGAGGGAGGAGTAATATAAGCATCATTTTCTTACAGGATGGATAACAGCGAAGGGGGGAAGCATGACGAGGAAGACAAGGGATGATGGAATGAAGAGAGAGATAGAGAGAGATATACATATATATATATATAGATCGAGAGAGAGAGAGACAGAGAGAGAGAGAGAGAGCGAGACAGAGAGAGATAGAGAGAGAGAAACATAGAGAACAAGACAGAGAGAGAGAGAAAACACATATATATATATACACAGAGAGAGAGAGAGAGAGAGAGAGAGAGAGAGAGAGAGAGAAAGAGAGAGAGAGAGAGAGAGAGAAAAAAAGACACAGAAATATGATAACAACGAACAGGTCTGGGGAATATGGGATGGAAAAGGAGGAGCAGGAGAAGGAGGCAGGAGGATGAGGCATGAGGCGGAAGAACAGAGAGTGGATCGTCGTTTCCTTTTCCCCCTTCCGCGCAGGCTCTTTGGATGTGCGCGCGCAGAGTCTCTGGCCTGGGCGCACGGCTGACTGCGGGCGCCAAGGAGGCTGGGCAATCAAAGAGGTGGCGAAGAACGGGATGCGAAGGCGCGAGACCCGTGTGGGCCCAGGTGCGTGGCGTCCAAATCGATCGTGCGCCGCCACCGCCTTGAACGTAGCGGACGGCGCTGCGCAGACCGAGGGGGGAGGTCAGTATGCATTTTTGGTTGGCCTTGGGGATGACGAGGAGGAGGAGAGCATCACGATGAGAGGAACCTCCCCGTTCGGTTTGTGGACGCGCAAACAAAATCCACTCATAACCTGCCCCGACCCTATACAGGACACTGCCCCGACTATATTTTTTGTGTCAGCCGCGTCCCTCGGTGTTGACGAGACCCCGCTAACGACCACAATACATGACCAGACCAATCCCGACCGTGTTTTGTCGTAGCGCTGTTGCCGTCGTGGGAACATGCCAGAGTATGGGTCAGATGCAAGTGCACCTGAAGATGAACGAGTGCCAGACTGCGTTTTGCTTGGCTACGCGACGCTGGATTTAAGCATCACCGGGCGGACTTGGTTACGTCGAGCTGAACCACGCTACAGACCATGCAAACGACAAAACGTCTAATACGTAGACACATCGGCGCACAGTGGCGAACCAATATAAAACTCTTCAGGTGCTCCTAGACATCTGCTGAGGAAACATCTCAGGTAAACACGCTGGGTTGCGGTTTCTCATGCGTGGCAATGGTTTGCGCCGCGCTAGACTAAAGCACCCCTGCGCTGACCAACACCTTTGAACCCCAGAGCCCCGGGGCCTGGACTCGAATCCCGGTGCCCTTGCCTCGTCGTTGTCCGCACGCTCTTCCCCTCCTCCTCGCAAGCAGGAGGAGGAGGATGAGGAGGAGGAGGAGAAGATGAAGGAGGGGCCAGTTCGTGGAAGGCCCTGGGGCCCAGCCATCACCACCCTGGATAGAAAACGTGATCCCTTTTCGCTGCAAGCTTGGCCATCTACCTGTTGTGCACATTCACCCTCCACCATCCGTCTGGGAATGCGTGCCCCAAAGGGTTATCGATGCTGGCGATCAAGCGCTCCTGAGGAACGACAGCCAGCCCTCGGCAGACGGGCTCACACGCCAGCACCGCGAGGCTCGCGGCGGAAGCCACGCCAACTCCAAGAAAATCATGGGCGGCACCATAGGAGGTGTGGCAGCGAGCAGCCTGCTTTAGAATTACATGCAAGGGCGAGCCTCGCAGATGTCTCGGGAATGTGCTGCTCGGGCTGCTGTGATGGGCAAGGGGGCCCATCATATCGAGCAGGCCGAGGGGTCCGAGGAATGGAAGGTCCCAGGGAGCGAGGGGGAGCGGAGGATTTGGAGGCAAACAGGCTAGGTGCCCTAGTTTGTAGCCCCAACACACAGCCCACGACTCACCCTCTCCGATGCCGCAAGACATGGAAGCGACGATTCGTTCATGAAGTGCTGGCTGCGTCCTGCGCGCAGACTGGGGGGGATCAAGGACGATCTCCGGCAGATTGTGTCCGAAGAGTGGTCCAGTGCGAGGACAAGTCAGGATGAAAGAGAAGGGCGAGACGGAGACGCTTCGAGAGGCTAAGCGCGCCACTGAACACCGCGCTCTGGCAAACAAGGCGGAGCGCCACATGCACTCGTCGCCGCTCGCCGCGGCCGCGAGCGCCTGTGCGCTGCCAACACCTCCTGTATAATTCCAGCCGCGGCCACTTTCGCCCGGAGCCAGAGGGCAGCACTACGGCAGATCTTGGCGGCCTTATGTTGGCCGTGTGGATCTTGGCCTTATGATTTCTGCTACCGGCGCGCACGAGCGGCTGGCGCGAGGGCGGGGGGGGGGGCCTTGGAAGCGGGCGGGAGGCCTCTCTGAGGGCGGGGGCCGTCTCAGACGCGCCTGCGTGCTTCCTGGCATGCCTCCCAGAAGCCAGGAGGGCTTCCGAGAAGGCGCCCGCCTTCTCCGAAGCCTCCGCCCTCTCAGAAGGCCGACCTCCTCGCGCCCACCCCTGTGCGCGCCGCCAATGGAAAGGCTTCGTAGACGGGGTCCGAGAAGATGGGGTCCGAGGATCACGCCGCATCGGCGATGCATCGGCGATACATCGCCGATGCATCGGCGATGCGGAGGGGTCCTCCGACCCCATCTACTCCGACCCCATCTAGGAGGCCCAGACAATTGAAGGTCCAGGAGCACACCTCTCACCAACACAGGAGCTTCCCAGGGCGCCACGACATGCCTTCTTCAGCAAGTGTTTGGCCGCCAGTGGCGTGCCCACGAGGTGTGACCTGCCCAGGGGCACACATGTTGCTGCAGTGCACTGCCCAGTGCCGTCAGAGCGGGATCGAGGGCCAGGATCTGGGGCCGCAGGCTGGGGAACGAGCTCGGGACGCGAACACTTGGAACTGGGGACGTGGCTAGCGTTCGGTCGGTTATGTCCCCCGACAGGCGGATTTTCGAGGAGCGAGAAGGCGCAGCCAAACAAACATTCAGACATAGTGAAAGATCGTCGAAGCATCCTCCCCAGTTTTTTTTTTTTTTTTTTTTTTTTTTTTTTTTTTTTTTTTTTTTTTTTTTTTTTTTTTTTTTTTTTTTTTTGTTTTTTTTTTTTTTTTTCCTCTCTATTTTCGAACACTCCTCCTGTGCAGGGACAGGCCCGACGTGAGGCCAGCGTGTCGCGCCGAGGCGTGGCGGGCCAGAGCGGCGGCGCGACGCGCGACGAACAGGAGCTCCCGGCCGCAGAGTCTCCGCCGGGGGCGCCGACGCGGGCACGGCAGCTGCTCGCCCGGTGCCCTGACAGCACGCGCTGTCCGACTTTTTCGGGGGGGGGGGAGGGGGGAGGAGGGGGAGGCGGAGGAGGAGGAGGAGGGGGAGGAGGAGGAGGAGGAGGAGGAGGAGGGGGAGGAGGAGGAGGAGGAGGAGGAGGGGGAGGAGGAGGGGGGAGGAGGGGGGAGGAGGGGGAGGAGGGGGAGGGGGAGGAGGAGGAGGAGGAGGAGGAGGAGGAGGAGGAGGAGGAGGCCCTGACAGCACGCGCTGTCCAAAGCTGGCATCGGCCGCTGCTGGGCAGGCGAGTTTCTGCATCGGATGGTGAAGGTCCGCGCGGCACCGACGGCGTCCGCGGCTCCGCAGGGGACGTCTGCGCTGGCGGTGGGAGGCCCAAGCGGGAATGCCGTGAGGGCGACTTGGGCCACCATGCAGGAGGAGGAGCTGATGCCCAACAGCACACGTTGTCCAAAGCTGCCATCGGCCGTTGCTGGGCAGGCGACTTTCTGCATCGAGTGGTCAAAATCCGCGCGACACCGACAGCGACTCCTGCTCAAGCTGGGGAAGAACTGCCGTCGATCGTCACCATCCTTTCCGTGCCCATTCGACGGATTGAGGAAACTCTGAATCCAACGATGCTGTCATCTCTTGTGAGGCCGATTGTTACTTCTGCTGGCTTCCGCTGGCGGAGGCGGCTTACTTCCGCCGAAGAAGACATTCCAAATCTTTCGATCATCGAATGAGGAGCCCTTGCAGGAGCCCCAATCCCAAGCACCCGGCGTCGCGATTTTTCGGGACACGGGCCCCCGGCTTCTCGACCACTTCCCCGGTACCTGTTTTTCATTCCGAGTGGTTCCTTGACGGTCCCGAAGCCCGGGGAGGGCCCCGAGAGGCCGAAAACGATGAAAAGAACCCGTCTCGATTTTTTCGAGACGCCGGATGCCTGGGTTCCCAGAGATCCGATGTCCTGATTTTTTCAATGCGGGGCGTCCAAACGTTCACCAGGGCCAACTTTTCGTCCTGAGTAGTTTTTGGACGGTCCCCAGGACTTGTCGCGGGCCTCCAGCGGCCGAAAACGAGGAAAAATCCCCGCCTCTGACTTTGTGGAGACGCCGGATGCCGCCCGACTTTTTCGGGGAGGGGAGGGGGTGGAGGGGGAGGGGGAGGAGGGGGAGGCGGAGGAGGAGGAGGAGGAGGGGGAAGGAGGAGGAGGAGGAGGAGGGGAGGAGGGGGAGGAGGGGGAGGAGGGGAGGAGGAGGAGGAGGGGAGGAGGAGGAGGAGGAGGAGGAGGAGAGGAGGAGGAGGAGGAGGAGGAGGAGGAGGAGGAGGCCCGCTGGGCGGCCGCCGACAGGCCGAGCTCTCCTCCGAGGTGCCCGCTGCGCGCCCTGGGCCGTGCGGGGTGGCACGCGGGCCTGGCCTCCCCCTCCCCCTCGGCCTCGCCTGCACCGTCTCAACCGAACTTCTTCAGGCACACGCACTCTCGTAGTAGAAAACTTGGCCCACACATCCGCTTGGTTATTGCCGAACCTATCACGCCTGGACACAAGCCCCGACTCGACAGCCTGGAGCGGCAGGTGCGCTCTGATCTTGCGCACTACCCTCCTCCTCCTCCTCCTCCTCCTCCTCTTCCTCGTCCTCCTCCTCCTCCTCCTCCTCCTCCTCGTTCCTTAGGTCAGCGCCTCGACTGTGTTGGGCGAGGCCTGGGGCCGCGGGCTCTCCTGCCCCGTCGGCCTGGAGATCCGACGCTGCCAACAAAAACTGCAACACCGCAGAAAAAAATGCGACGGGACCCCCCGCACCCCATCCCGGGAATCCCCAGACCTCCTCGAGTGATGCAGAAATCGTGACGGCAAATTTTCCACTCTTTTCAGTCTCTGTGGCCCTCGCCAAGCCTCGGGACCGTCGACAAAACGACTCGGGACGAAACAAAAACCGGTCCCGGGGAACGGGTCGAGAGCCCTGGGGGGCGACGCCATGCAAAAATCGTGACGTCGGGGGTCTGGGTCCTTCTGCGTCCTGCTTCCCGGGAGCGGCCAAGAGGGGGGGTGTCCAAGAGGGGGGGGGGTGTAAATCATGACAGGCGGCATGTGCGCGGCCCAGCGAGGGGCCAGGGACGTCATGAAATAAGAGGAGGCGCCATGAGATCTGGGGAAATATGCCATGGCCCACGCCATGATACCCCCCCCCCCAGTCATCACCCCCCTCTTTGCTGCCCCCGAGTCTGGGTCTGTCTGCGTCCTGCTTCGGGCCGGATCGAGCTGTGAAGCTCCCGGGGCCCGCCGGGGAGCGCAGATCGGCGGCGCGCACACGGGGGTGGAGGGAGGGGGGAGGGCTTCTCAGAAGGAAGCTGCTTCTTAGAAGGCGCCGTCCTTACATCTATAGATGAGGCCCGCGCCTTCTAAGAAGCAGGGGTGCTTCTAAGAAGCCCTCCCCCCTCCTCTCACCCCCTGAGGCTGCCGGGATCTCAGGGGCCCTGCGCCTCGCCGGCAGGGGCCGCCGCCCGCCCCCTGCAGGCGAGTCGCAAGGCGGGCCTGTCCCCCTGCAGTCCTCCTCCTCCTCCTCCGCCTCCTCCTCCTCCTCCTCCTCCTCCTCCTCCTCCTCCTCCTAGGCCGATTTTGGCCGAAGAATTGAAAATAGTCAACACATGCCCTAAAATAGTCAGCAAAAACAATCCACAAAATCGTCCCCGGTTTATTTTTTGACTCTTTTGGAAGATTCCCCCTGTAGGGGGACAGGCCCGACTTGAGGCGAGTCGCAGGTCGATTCGGCCCGGAACAGGACGCAGCAAGATTGGGTCCAGGGGTCCGGTCGTGATCTCCGGCGGTGCTGCTTGTTTCATGTCTTTGGTGTTTTCTTTGTGACGTCGGATCTCAGGGACCGTGCATCCTGCGGATCTTGTTCTGGATCCAATGCTGGGCAGTGGCGTGCGCAGTTCCATGCGGGCGGGATGGGCGGGATGGCAGCAGCGCTTCCCCACCTCCGCAGTCACTTGCCTCAGAGGCCCCACAAATGGCCGTGCTGGCAGCACGCACCTTGCACTGCTCGGGTGCTGCTAGGAGCGCCCCTGGCCCAAGGTGCCCCCAGGGTTTCCAAGGAAGCCACCGAGACCTCCAGAGCACCCTTCACGAGGCCCAGAGGCCCTTTTTGTTCCAGAATCCCAGAGGGCCGATGTCGTGATTTTTTCGATGCGCGGTCCCCGGAAGTCTCGGCCCCTTCTCCCAGACTGGTTCTTCATCCCGAGTCGTTTCTTGACGGTTCGGGCGCGGCGAGGGCAGGCCTACCACTGGGAAAAACCTCCGTCTTGATTTTTCCAATGCGTTGGATCTCTGGAGTTGAGTGGAAAAAGCTGGGGGCACCCTGGGCAAAGGGGCCCCTCAAGCACCCCCCCGAAACGGTGCACGCGCGGAGCCCAGAAAGCACAGAAGTCATGACGCCTGGGGGCCAGCGGCTGCCACCGTGCTGGGAGCGAGCACGTCTCGGGTGCTGCCAAGGGGTCGGCCCTGGCCCGGGGCACTTCCCCTGTGGGAGGCCCCGGTGGGCTCCCAAAGCACCCCGTCGCGAGGCCTGGGGGGCTCTACATGGCGGTTTCCAGAAACCCGGAGCCCCAAAATGTTGTCACCTCTTGGAAGGCAGCTTTTTCCAATAATCCGGGAGGGGGGGGGGGCCTCTGTAGTCCGGGGCCCTGTAGCCGGGGGGGGTCCCTGTAGTCTAGTCCCGGGGGGGGTCTTCTTGGTTTGACGTGCCTGAAATCTGGGGGTGGGCCCTTGAGTCCGGAGGGGGTCCCTGTAGTCAGGGAGGGGGGCCCTTGTAGTCCAGGGGGGCGTCCTTGTAGTCCGGGGTTCCTGGGGGGGGGTGGTCCCTGTAGTCTGGGGGTGGGGGCCCTTGTAGTCTGGGGGAAGGGGCCCTTGTAGTCCCGGGGGCCCCTGTACTCCGGGGGCTCAAAGCTATTGAAGTACTCCCCGCCGCCCTGCCGCCGCCTTCCCGAGCGCTTCAAGATAACACTCCAAATCTGCAGACCTATCTGGACTGCTGAACACCTCGACTGGACTTTGGGTATTTTAGCTCCGGGTGTTATCTTTTTAGCCCTCCTGGGAGGCCAGGGAAGCCAGCCATCTTGGCAGAGCGAGTCGTCCCGACGTCCCTGGGGCCGGAGAGAAGGCACCTCTGGAGGCCGACAGTGGCGGAGACCTCGTGCCTGGAGGCTCGAGCCTCTGGCAGCCTCGGGGTGGTGAGGGCCGTGCTCCGGGCCACTGCTGGTGAGGGCAGCCAGCCTTCCCGGCTGCCGGCACAAGGGCGGTCGGGGGCTGTCCTCCAGGCTCGTGCTGGTGATGGCAGCCCTCCAACATACCGCTACTGGCGAGGGAGCTGACGAGTGCGGAGCAGCCGAGCGCGCCGATTCGTGAGTGGAGGTGATGATGAGGATGATGATGATGATGATGAGGATGAGGAGGAGGAGGAGGATGATAATGAGGATGAGGATGATGAGGATGAGGATGATGAGGATGATGAGGATGATGACGATGATTATGATGATGATGATGCTGCTGCTGATGATGATGATGATGATGATGTTGCTGATGATGATGAAGATGAAGATGATGATGAGGATGAATGTCCAAACATTGCCCACGAGGCGACCACCCTACCCCCCCGCAATTCCAAGAAGCCCCCCAGAGGGTCAACTATACTTCCAAAGGGTCCCAAGGTACCCTCGAGATAGCCTCTGACACCGCCAGGACAGCTCCGAGTAGCTCAATATTGCCTCGGATGGTTCTAGGGAACCGTTACAACACGTTTTCCACATGGTCTCCGCACGGATTGGAGCATAACGCAGTCTAGCAGCCTAGCTAATAGTCGTCCAACGTTTGGCCACATACCTGGAAGCAGAGCAAGGGTAAACGGTGACTCGCTGGATGCATCTTCGATGCGTTCACGTTCAGGATATGGGCGCATGCGGGCATTCGAACCAGCATGGAGGTAAGGCAGGGACACAACGCAGGAAACGCATTGGCAACACAATAGCACGAGCGGACTGCAATATCCCAGACGTTCGACACAATATTCATGGATCTGGCCTTATGTCGGACGTGTTTGGCAGTATAATGGGGAAGATCGAAGGAAAGGAACTAACTTATTCGGGGACGAAAGGGGCTCCCGTGCTCAACGCTTACGCAGTCCCTCATTTACTGCTTACTGTGATACTTGCTGGACAAGCGTGCTGCAAAACATGGCAGAGTTGCGCACACAGCTGCGCATGACTCGAAGCAAGGCAGGCTGGGCGGAGTTCGCCACCAGCGCGAGCAAGTCGTCTGATGCCACCCAAGCTCACTTTTGGAACTGGCTGGCCCCAGAGTGCAGCAATATGCCATGGCTGTGCACGAGCTGTGCATACCAGGCGGGAGTCAACAACGACACGAACAGGCTCTCTGACTGCCAGCCGAACCGACGGCAAGCCCGCACGAGGCGAGGCTGTGGGTCAAACTGTTGGGCTGGGAGGGGTGCTGAGAGACGTGCGGGGCCACATGGCGGCTCAGGCAGAGGGGTATCGAAGGAGGAGGAGGAGGAGGCGGGGAGGAGGAGCGAAGGAGGAGGAGGAAGAGGAGGAATGCACCCTCCAGTCCCAAGAGCCTCATCCTGTCACAAGTCCCAGCAAACTGCCCTCTCTTACCACGGGAAGCGCCCCCTTGAAACACCAACTCCCGATGGGCCTGCCATTCAGGAGGGGCAGTGAACTTACTTGCATCCTTCTGGCGCGTAGTGAGGGATGCGAGAAGATCTGATCATATAGTCCCACCAACCCTTTGGGCGTGAGTGGTTTAGAGAGCCCGCTCTGTCCTCAACCCCCCTTCTTCCCTTTCGGGGAGGGGTTTACCCCTCCCCCTACCCCCTCCCCCTGGGCCTGGAGAGGGACCCCCGCGGATGGTCAGAGGGGTCTTTTTCGACTCCTGGGAGGGCTAAAAAACGACGACCCTCACGAGGATTCTGGCCCCGACGGGGGGACGGAGATAGGTCCCTCTCCTCCTTTCAAGCTAAAATCATTGATTTTACTACGGTTTTGGCCCCCATTTTGGCCTCCTGAGGGGGCCGCGCTCATCTTCCTTCATAGCAAAACCATTGATTTTACGAAGGTTTTGGGCTCATTTTGTCCTTCTCAGGGGGCAGCGCTCCTTTGCGCTTCTGAGGAGGTCGCAAGAGGCCCCAAGATGGCCCCAAGAGGCCCCCAGGAGGCTCCCAAGAGGCCTCCCAGAGGCCCCCAAGAGGCCCCCAAGAGGCCCCAAGAGGCCCCCAAGAGGCCCCCAAGAGGCCCCCAAGAGGCCCCCAGAGGCCCCAAGAGGCCCCCAAGAGGCCCCCAAGAGGCCCCCAAGAGGCCCCCAAGAGGCCCCAAGAGGCTCCAAGAGGCCCCCAAGAGGCCCCACGAGGAGCCCGAACGACTCACACCAGGACGAGGGGCCCGAACGACTCACATCACGAAGAGCCCGAACGACTCACACCACAAGGAGGGCCCGAACGACTCACACCAGGACGAGGCGCCCGAACGACTCACACCACGAGGAGCCCGAACGACTCACACCACGACGCGGGCCCCGAACGACTCACACCACGAGGAGCCCGAACGAGTCACACCAGGAGGAGGGGCCCGAACGACTCACACCAGGATGAGGGACCCGAACAACTCGCACCACGAGAAGCCCGAACGACTCACACCAGGACGAAGAGCCCGAACGACTCACACCACGAAGAGCCCGAACGACTCACACCAGGAAGAATGGCCCGAATGACTCACACCAGGACGAGAAACTTCAAACGACTCAAATCACGAGGAGCGCTTTGTCTCCCTCCTCCTCCGCCTCGTCCTTCTCCCGCTCCCCCCACAAGGAGGATGTACAAGGAGGCGGGAGGAAAGAGGAACAGGGGAGATATGCGGGGCCAAGCGGACACACGCCTGAAAAACACGACTGTCGGCATGCTTCGCAAGAGTTGCTGCTGTGAGATGGGCTGGTGGGGATACGCGAAGCGTAAAGAATTTAAGGAGGCGTCCAACGACACCTCTGTTTTGGAAAAGGACCGCCCCATCCGCGCAAGCTTACACTTATGGTCATGACCTTTGAACGGGCCTCAAATGATGGATACACATTAATATGTCGTCGCCCTCTATCCGATCAGCTGCTACACTTTTGAGTTGAGACCAAGGAAGTCTCAATCGATTGCACTATTTTGAGAAGGACGCGTCCTCCATACTTGCCGACTGTTGCAAGCTTTTGAAACGAAAGTGCGCGGCGCTAATGCGAGACCCCAACTTGTTTTGAATCATAGCCGACCTCCATCCTTGTAACTGTGACAAGCCTGTGACACGAATGTGCGCGGAACCAGGGCGAGGGACCTATTTGGAAAGCCCCCCTCCTTCCTTGTAGTTGCTGCAAGCATCCAGGACGAATGTGCGAGGCGCTGAAACGATAGCCCCGTTCTGAACACCGCCCCCCATCATCCTTGTAACTCTTGCGAGTTCTAGTTGCAGATCCGCTGACATTCCCTTCCGATCTGTCTGGGGGTGCGGCAGGGAGGGGCTAACCACAAGGAACAAACATGGAGGAGGAGGAGGAGGAGGAGGAGGAGGAGGAGGATGAGGAGGAGGAGGGGAGGCTGGGAAGCGAAAAGGAACAAAGAGGTAGATGAGAGGAGGTTGGGGAGGGCCCTGGGGAGAGGCCCCAGGAGGGCTCGGGATGGCTCAAGGGGGGCTCTAGCAGTCGTCAGGAAGCCGCAGGAGGCGCTTGTCTTTCTGCCACCAGAAGGAAGCTTGCTTTCTCCTCGCTGTATGTTTTTCAATCTTCGCGTTCTTTCTTCTCTCGCAGGTTTGTCCTTCGCCCTCGCAAAGGCTGTTCGTCACCCTGGAAAGTCATGGGGGAACCGGGAGGCGAATGTCCTCCATCCCTCGCCCTCCTCCTTGCCCCTGTACCCCCGTCTCCTCCCCCTCGCCCACTCCCTCCCGTCCCCCTCCCCCGTCCTCTATGCTCTCCAAGCCCCTGTTCCATCGTCGCCAATCCTTCCTTCCTCTTGTGCTCTGCTCCAACTTCCCTGCCTACCTTCCATCTACATTTCCCCACCCAACGGCTCGACATTTTTCGAGACGTGGGCCCCTGGACCTCTCGACCCCTTCTCGGGGACATTTCCGTTCATCCTGGGCCGCCTTTGGCGGTCCAAGGCGCCCTGTAAACAGCCCCATTAAGGCCCAAAGCGGCGAACAACACGGCCGTCGCGATCTCTTGAGCCGCAGGATGTCTGTGCTCCTTCTGCCCGTGGGCGGCGCGGACACGGGTGAGGGACGAGAAACGGAGCCAGAGGAGGAGGAGGAGGAGGACGAGGAGGAGGAGGAGGTGGAGGAGGAGGAGGAGCCAACACGGCGCCCAGCTCGACCAGCAGTTTGTCTGTGGTCGCGGCGCTGGCGATGGCTCCGCGCGAGAGGGCCCCGGTCGGGCAGCGAGGCGGCAGACTGACACCGAGGACAGGCGGGGGAAGGCGAAGGCCGCCGCGGACACGGGACTGCTCGAGCAAGATCGCAGGAGCCGCGAGGCTGGAGGCCTTCGGCCTCCGGCCGAGGGCGAAGTACTCTCAACTGCTTTCTCGGCCTTTACTGGAGTTTTACGCCTCCCACTGCTTTCTCGGTCTTCGGCCGAGGGCGTCAGCGTCAGCCTCCTACTCCTACTCCTACTCCTACTCCTCCTCCCCCTCCCCCTCCCCTCCCCCTCCTCCTCCTCCTCCTCCTCCTCCTCCTCCCTCCTCCTCCTCCTCCCCCTCCTCCTCCTCCTCCTCCTCCTCCTCGTGGCTCGCTCCAGAAAGGACCTCGCCTTCGAGGGCGCAGGGCCCGCGGAGGCCGGAGGCCTCGAGCGGCGCCGCGGCCCGAGAGGCGGGCGCACGCCACCGCCCGCGCGCAGGCGGCACGCTGGGAGGGCGGAGCGGTTCGGGCGCCACCAGGGGGGGGCGGTACGGCCTCCTCCTCCTCCCTCCTCCTCCTCCCTCCTCCTCCTCCTCCCTCCTCCTCCTCCTCCCTCCTCCTCCTCCTCCTCCTCCTCCTCCTCCTCCTCCAGGAGGAGGAGAGGAGTCATCCTATAGCCGGGGCGAGCACACCGGCAGCAGCGGTTCGGGCGCCACCATGGGATCGACGCGCGCTCCTCGGAGGCCTCAGAGGAGCCAGGGCCACCGCCACCAGGAATCCATCGGGGGGGGGGGGGGGCGGCGGGGGGGGGGGCCCCCCTCCGATGGGGTTCTCGGTGGCGGTGGTCCCTGTGACTCCCCCGAAGACCGAAGTTCTCGGGCTCGGCGCACCGCGCGTCTCTGGACGCGTCCGTAGGCCTCCCGGAGCCTCGGGGGCCTCCGAGGGGCCTCTGGGAGCCTCTGCCGCCTTCCCCTGGACATCTGGAGAGCTCCAAGGAGGATGAGAGGCTTGCCATCGCTCGGGCGTCCATTCCATGCGCATTCTCCGGTCTCCCGCGCGTATTTTTTCGCAAAGTGGCCCAAAATGCTCCTCGATGGTCCTCGCCGAGAAAGCGGGCACACGTCCGAGCGATGCCAAGGAACAAGGGCAACAGAAGGAGGGGAGCGCGTCGCCGTCCGCTTCTCGATCTGTCCACCCCCAGAGCCGCTCGGCTTCAAGACTACTTCCTCGAGGGTTACTGCCAATTTCCTGATTTTGCTCGCGCTTTCGTGGTTGTTACGGTTACCGGCTCTATGCGTCTGTATATTGTACCAACGCTGTTGTCGTTGACGATTCGTTGCTACGGTGTCGCCATCGCTGAGGCCAACATCATCGCTATTGCAGCCCCCAGCGTCAGCGTCGCTGCAATAATCACCCATATTGCCAATCTGTGTTCGCTGGAATGTTGCGGACTTTGACATACTGCTTCTCCCTAGCTTGCCTGAGGAACACCAAACGCGCGCGATTCGTAACCGTGTAAGATTATTTTCTCCATGGCTTTCAACGTAGATGGCTTTAGCCGCATGCACCAAGCCCACCCCAAACGCGATCCACCCCTTCAAAGCAGCCGTCCAGCCAAGGCGACGAATGGTGCAGATAACCGCTCCCGCGGCCTCGGTGACTTGCCCCTAATCGAACCCAGGCGCGGCCAGATACGCTTCGAAACTCTTGTGCATCTGGACTTCGGGGGCCCAACCTCCATGAAGTGCGAGACACCAGGCAACTACCGGGCTAGAAGCGCCAGCCATGGGGTCACCCTTGACATCCCCACTGAGCAGTGAATCCATCGTCTGTGATCTGCCCGCGGGCGTGCCGAAGGTCGCCTAACCGACGAGCGAACGCATGTCTCTCAACCTGTCATCCGCGATGCCGATGACAGACGAACCGTACGTGACAGCGTGCATCCCACCCACTCCTACCAGCTCCTTTGAATGAGGATCGCAACCCGCGGAGACGCTCGACTCTCGGCCGAAGCGCAGCCTCCTTTTTACCCTTCGATCGGTGGCGCTACGCACGTGCTTCGTTGTGGGAGCAAGCCGGCTCCAAGATCTGTTATGGCCCCTCTGCACGGGGAGCTGGGAGGGCCTGAGGCTGGCCCCCAGGTTGCTGCGCGGGGAGGCAAGCAAGCAAGCAAGCAAGCAAGCAAGCAAGCAAGCACGCAAGATGGACACGTATCCTGAAGGAAGCGTGGGCTGGTTGGCAAGAACGCTCGTGGTTCCTGGCAGTACTCGCTAAACGATACGCCCAAAGGAGCAACATCAACTAAGACGGAACGCCCGGCCAAGGCCGATCGTCACCGAAGACGAAACGGCCACGACATGCCGTGGACTCTGCCGCGAGGGAAAAGCGGGTCCTGACGGAGACGGGCCCCTGGATATCCTGGGGATTCCCTTGGGACTGTTTCTGTTTTTGTTGTTCTTTTTGTTTGTTGTTGTTATCGTCGTTGTTGTTGCTGGTGTGTGTGTGTGTGTGTCTGTGTGTGCGTGTGTTTTGTTGTTGTCCTTGTCGTTGTCGTTGCTGTTGCTGTTGCTGTTGCTGTTGTTGTTGTTGTTGTTGTTGTTGTTGTTGTTGTTGTTGTTGTTGAACTTTCTTTGCTGAAGAAGAATTCTTGTTGATCCCCCCACTCCGGAGCCCATTGTTGTATTTTTTAATTGAAGTGCCACTCCCGGCGCTCGCACCCGGTTTTCTAACAGGGAAAGTTTTCGTCCTCAAACTTTGTTGTTGGCCCCCCTGTTTACAACAACAACAACGGCTCCCGCTCGATACTTCCTCGAAATTTACTCCGGTCCACCGCTCTCGCTTGAGACTTCGTCGCAATTTCCTCAAAACTCGCGCTCCCGCCTGAGACCTCCTCGCAATCTACTCAAGCGCCGCGCTCTTGCCATTCAGGAATCGCGCGTTCGCTGGGGACTTCTTTAAATTTACTCAGGAAGCGCTCTCTCGCTGGAAACCTCCTGCTAATCACGGAGAACTCACGATCGATCCACCCGCTCGGCCCGCCCGTCAGGGTCATGCCCTTCGTGCCCCATGCTCGCTCGCGCTCTTTGTGCCTCATTGCTGCCCTTCGTGACCCCTCCCCTTGTGGCCCAGTCGCTGCCCTTCGTGGCCCCGATGCTGCCCTCAGAGGCCCCTCGCTGCCTTTTGTGGCCCAAATATGCGCCCTTCGTGGCCCCCAGTCGCTCGTGCCCTCAGTGGCCCCATTGCTGCCCTTCGTGGCCCCAGTGTAGCCCCGTGTGCCTCCCCCCCGCTGCCCTCAGCGGCCCCCTCGCTGCTCTTTGTGGCCCATATATTCGCCCTTCGTGACCCCCAGTCGCTCGTGCCCTCCGTGGCCCCATTGCTGACCTTCGTGGCCCCGGCGTAGGCCCCTGTGTGGTTCGGTCACATGTTTTCTGCTCCTAGCCCCCCTCCTGCGACTCTGTCTCTCTCTCTCTCTCTCTTTCTCGTGCTCCATCCTCCTCTCTCCCCCTTGTCCCTTCCTTCCATCCGTCCTCTCTTCCCCTGCCTTAGGTGCTGCACGACATACACGTTGCAGGTAAGAAAAATATATCCCCAAAGTGATACGATCGAAGACGAAGAGGGTGGATATCGACGGTTTGGGATATACGTGTTGGATGCCACGCGAGCAGATTAGACCGATCAGTTTAAACATGAGTGTTGGTGTTATTGTTCTCGTTTTTGCTGTTGTTGTCGTTGTCGATGTTGTTGTTGTCGTTGTTATCGTTGCTGCTATTGTTGTTATTGTTGTTGTTGCTGTTGCCGTCGTTGCCGTCGTCGTTGTCGTCGTCGTCGTCGTTGTTATTGTTATTGTTATTGTTATTGTTGTTGTTGAACATTATTACTTCTAAAGAATAATTATTGTTGGGGCCCCTGGTGCACGACCCTCCCGCCGTGCCTAGGCCGCAGCCTCATTTTCATCATTTTCGTGAGGAAGTCTCAGGCAAAACGGGGGAGTCCGGATCCGGTTGTGTTGTTACGAACGGTTTTCCCTTGCAAAAAAAAAAGCTAAAGTGGACATTTCTTGTTCTAACATAACCAAACTTCAAGAATCCCTTGCAACAAAATAAGGTAAAATGGACATTCGCGCGCGCAAGACGAAATCCTTCCAAGACCTTAGTTTCCGTAGCGATTTTAACATAAAAACATCAAAAAACCAATGGTTTTTCAAGAAAAAATTGTCAAAATTTCATCCCGCGCGCTCTTGCGGATTTGTAGGACACCCAACACTTTTTAATAATTTCTGTCAAACGGGCTTTTGCGAGCAACTTTTTCGAACTTCTGCAACAACGGTTGCGCACCTGCCAGGGCCATCATCCCTGTCAAATAATACCATGCGGGACACATTCGTTTTTTCTTCGCGCGCGCACGCCGTCGTCGTCGGCCGCGGGGCCCTGAATAGTAGCCACGGTCGTCCGCATGCCACGAAGTGAAGTGTCCGAACGTCATAGGGCGGGAAGCTGGGTGTGGGTGGTGGCGAAGAGTCGTTTGGAAATTTGGTAGAGCTTGAACCGGCCCCCCCACAAAGTGGGGGTATTGCCCGCCTCCTATGAAAACCCTGGCACTGGTGAGAACGGAGTGTCCCCACGTGCTAGTAATTGTTGTTGTTGTTGTTGAACACTATTACTTCTAAAGAATTATTATTGTTGGACCCCCTGGTGCACGCCCCCCGCCCAAAACCTAGGCCGCAGCTACATTTTCATCATTTTTCTGCGAAAGCTTCAGAAAAGTGGATTACCCCCGGATCCGGTTTTTTGTTGACGCTCGTTTTCCCTTGCAAAAAACAATAGAAAATGAAAATTCTTGTTCTTAGTTGATCAAATTTCAAGAATCCCTTGCAAAAAATAAGGTAAAGTGGACATTCGCGCTCGCAAGACGAAATCCTTCCAAAACCTTAGGTTTCGTAGCGATTTTAACATAAAAACATCAAAAACCCAATGGTTTTTTAAGAAAAAATTGTCAAAATGTCCTTCCGCGCGCTCTTGCGGATTCATAGGAAACACACCACTTTTTAAACATTTCTGTCAAAAGGGTCTTTGCGTGCTACTTCTTCAGGTGCTTTGAACTTCTCCAACAACGGTTGCGCGCCTGCGAGGGCCACCATCCCTTGCAAAAAATGAGACGAAGTGCACATGCGCGCGGCCGCCGCGCGCGCATGTCGAAATCCTGCCAAACACAATGGGTTTTCAATAATTTCAAGATGCGATGTTCAGAAAACA